GGAAAAGGAGGACTCCAGGATGGCCCCTGGCTTTCTGGCTCCAGTAAGTGGATGGTAATGAGATGTGGGAAGACTCGTGTAGACCCAGGAGCGGGAAGACCATGTGCAGTCCCCTCTGAACACACCCCCGTGTCTGCGGGCCACGCAGCCCAGCCGGGTGCCAGAGAGCTACTTGGATGAATGAAGCTGGAGGTCAAGGAGATGGAAACTGCAGGTAGAAGTTCGGGGGTCATCAGTAGAGCGGTTCATTTCTAAGGATTTATCCTGTAAAAATAAGTCCCACAGGTGTACACACCAATATATACAAGAATGCTGTTGCGCCGTTGCCGTAAATAATCCAAACATTCAGAAAAGAGCTTTTTGGATTATTCGTGGTATTTAAGAAGAATGAAGGATTTCTACACATAGTAGCCAAAGAGAGGATCAGATGTTGTTAAATGTTAACAGACAGCAGGTTGTTAGAGCACTTCCAGTAGTGGTGGGAAGCTTGAGTCACCGGGATATTTCTTCTGTTTTAATCTAGAAGATTATAATTACACTAAAGTCCATTTTGTGTGACATGAGATAAGGTTTATGCTCATTTTTATTTTCATACAGGTATCCAGGGGTTTTCTGGGGCCATTTTTTGAAAAGACTACTAACACCTTTGCTGAACATGAGTTGAGTGCTTAGGGACGGGTGCGTGTATACCCCCCTCCGTGTGTACACCCACACCTGTATACAGGTGTAAGGGCCGGGAAGTGCAGTGTTCTGTTCCACCCGAACAGACGCGTCTGTCTTTGTGTCAGTATCACGCTGCCCTGCAGATGACAATTATAAAATTTGATTAGAATTTCAAAACAACTGAAACTCACTGGAAAGCATTCAGAAGCATGCAGAAATTGCAGAAGGGTTTCATCACACACACAGAAATAATACAAAATAACCAACCCAGCAACTGAAAGGGCTAAGAATTAAGGGTCGCTGGCCTTTGGGGTCGAGGGTGATGGCCAAGCCTCCTGACTCCGCGGAAAAATCAGGCCCATTGGCAACAAGGGCCAGAGGGTGGAGTTGGAGGCTGAAAAAGAAAAACCACTGCAAACTGAAATCGGAAATCCAGAAGACCAGAACCCCAAAGGGAATGAGCTCCAACTTCCGCCCCATGATGTTTGGCGGCTCAGCTCCGCGAGAGGGAGGCCCGACCTTGAGGAGGAATCGCCGGAGGCCAATGGAACCCGGCCCTGACCCGGCCCTGACCCGGCAGGCCGCCCGCCGCCCCCTGCTCTCCTGGGGGCCTCGCCCCCATCCGGCCCCGCTGCGGGCCTGAACCGGGCTCCCGAGGCCGGGGCCGGGGCGTCCGACCTGCCTGACCCAGCTGGGTCACGGCCCCGGGGACGGGGGAGCGGCCTAGGCGGGCGGGGCGCCGAGGGGGGCCGCCGCCTCCCCCCAGGGACCCTCCTGCGGGAGCCTCCCCCACCTTGGGTTCCTGGGAGAAATCCTGTGAGCACGGGGCCTGCACACCTTCCCCAGTTCCTCATAAAGTGCTCGCGTGTTGTCGCGCCGGCTGTCACGCGAGGGCGAGGGCTCCGAGGCCCCGGGGCAGGCTCCGTCCTGTTTCTTCAGGTCCCGACCGGCCACTGCGCCGCCGCCGCGCGCCCCGGGGGCCCCAGGAGCCGGGGTCCGGCCCGATGGCGCCCCGTTAGGGCCCCGTTAGCGCCCCATTGGCAGCCCTGTAAGCGCCCCGTTAGCGCCCCGTTCGCGGCCCCGTTAGCGCCCCGTTAGAGCCCCGTTGGTGCTTTACTAGCGCCCCGTTCGCGGCCCCGTTAGCGCCCCGTTAGAGCCCCGTTGGTGCCCCGTTAGCGTCCCGTTGGTGCTTTACTAGCGCCCCGTTGGCAGCCCCATTAGCGCCCCGTTGGCAGCCCCGTTAGCGCCCCGTTAGCGCCCCGCGGGCGGCCGTGAGGAGGCGGCGGGCGGCTGCGGCCCGGTCAGCAGGCCCCGCGGCGGAGCCCGAGTCCGTGGGGTGCTCGGCCCGCCTGTGGCCGCACCGTGTCCGGGAGCCGCCCCCCACCCCCAGGCTCCGCGGGGCCGCCCGACGTGCGCGGCGAATGCGAGGCTGTAAGACGCGGGGAGCAGAGCGGTTGAGCGCCGCCCTCAGCCGGGGCCGTGACCACCGGTCCCGGGATCGAGTCCCGCGTGGGGCTCCCTGCGTGGAGCCTGCTCCTCCCTCTGCCTGGGTCTCTGCCTCTCTCTCTCTTTCATGAATAAATACATAAAATCTTTAAAAAATAAAATAAAATAAAAATAAAAAGGGGTCCGGTGAGCACGGCCGGCTCAGGACCGAGCACGAGGCCTCCCGGTGACCCGCCGAGGCCCACGACGGCCTGTGAGCCCAGGGACAGCAGCGCCCGCGGGGACACCCCAAGGGGCTGCGAGGTCGCGGCCGGGAGCCGCCGTGTCGCCCGCCCGTCGCCAGGGGGCGCCGCTGCCTCGGGCCACCGCGCTCCGCCGGCGCCGGGCTCCCAGGGCCGCCCCCGGACCCCCGGCTTGGAAGGCCGGCTGCGGAGAGGGCCCAGGGGTCGCTGCCCCCCAAAGGAGTCCCCCTTCTCCGAATAAAAACGAGAAGAGCTTCCCATGCAACTGGGAGGCGACGGCTCCCTCTCTGCGTGCGAACACGCCCTAAGTCGTCAGATAAAACCGGTGACCCCGCTAGGGAGCCGCTGCTGCAAAACTGCCCTTGCTCGGGACTCGCCTCCAAACGCTCGCAGGTGTGTATCTGACAATAACCAACCGCTGTTTTATTCTCGAAATGATAGTTTGGAAAAAAAAAAAAAAGTTTCCCAAGTCCGGGTTTCCAATGAGTTCATGGGTAGAAGACACAAGTTTGGGGAAGGTTGAAAGGGTAAACGCTTTGCTCCTCCTCGAAACACACCATGAGTAATAATGTCATTATTAGTGCATGTTGTTCCGGTGAAGTTTAAATTACATTTTTTGCTTTTTCTCCTTTAAACACTATATAAATCCTACAGTGATGTGGTTTTTTTGTTTTGTTTTGTTTTTGTTTTGTTTTCTTTTGGAAGTTCTACAGAATCGGCCCAACAGCAGAGAAAGACTGTGGGCCGTGCGTCCGGCTCCCTGGCGGCCAGAGGGGACACCAAGGAAGCCACCCGAGGCCAGGGGACCAACGCGGATGACGGGGAGCACGGCATTTACACATGATTTTTAGGGATCTTCTCATTTCCTGGACGATGTGAAAAGGCAGAAAAAGCAGACCCTCCCCCAAATGTGGGAGCGATGGTCCTATTGATGTTCCTGCCGCCAAGAGCGGTTAGGGACCCACGCGCCGCCCACGGGACCCGGACTCCCTGGAATGCCTGGGGCGGGAACCGGGGCGCCGTCGGGGCGCGACGACCACAGCCTCGGGCCTGGAGGGCCCCTCGGGTCTGCGCAGTGAAGGATGCTCAGGGCACTCGCCCCCTCCCTAACCCGACACCTCGCCGCGCGACCCGGGGGCGCTTCACCCGGGTCCCCCCAGCTCCCGGGCCCGGCTGGCACCTGCCCGACACTAGGGCACCCCAGCTGGCACCTGCCCGACACTAGGGCCCCCCAGATGGCACCCGACCCCCACACTTTGGCCCCCAGATGGCACCTGCTCCGACACTAAGGCTCCCCCAGATGGCACCTGCCCCCACACTTCGGCCCCCAGATGGCACCTGCTCCAACACTAAGGACCCCCAAATGGCCCCTCCCCGACACCAAGGCCCCCCCAGATGGCACCCGCCCGGATACTTGGGCCGAAGCTAATTTTGTTGCTGTTGTTGTTAACGGGGGTTGGAGGGGAAATCAGGTGGAGCGCGAGGGTAGTTGAGATTTCATCTCGGAGTTGGACTAGGTCTTGTTTGGTCTCCCCTTCCGTCCTTCATATTTTCAGGGCGCCCCCCCCCCCCCAGCAACAGGACCGCTGGGCCGGCTCGGATCCCGGCGCCCAGAGGACCGAAGGGCGCGGTTCCCGGCGGCTGCGGGGGCGGCGCCCACCTGGGCTGCGGGGGCAGGGGAGCCGCCCTCCACCCGCTCGCCAGGGGCCTGGGGGGCGTCGGCCGCCAGGTCGGGGGGAAGGGGGGCAACCTGCCCGGGGTGCGGGAAGCGCCAGGAGACGGTTCAGCCCCCGCCGCCCGCCCGTGGGCGCTCCTCCGGCAGAGAGGAGGGGGAGGAGGCGCAGGGAGGGGGCATCGGCTAGGGAGGGGAGGATCGGGTAGGGAAGGGAGCACCGGCTGGCGCGGGGGGGGGGCCGGCAGGGGGGGAGCACGATTAGGGGGGGTACTGCTTAGGGAGGGGAGCACGGTTAGGGAGGGGAGGAGCGGGTAGGGAAGGGAGCACCGGCTGGGGAGGGGGGGCTGACAGGGAGGGGAGCGCGGTTAGGGAGGGTACTGCCTAGGGAGGGGAGCACGGTTAGGGAGGGGAGGAGCGGGTAGGGAAGGGAGCACCAGCTGGGAGGGGGGGCCGGCAGGGAGGGGAGTGCGGCTGGGGGGGGCCGGCAGGGGGGGAGCACGGTTAGAGGGGGTACTGCCTAGGGAGGGGAGCACAGCTGGGGTGGGGGTCCGCCTAGGGAGGGAGCACGGCTGGGCGCCGAGCACGGTGAGGGAGGGGGTTCGCCCGGGGAGGGGGGGTCCGGCCGGTGTTCGGGCAAGCGCCCCCCTCCGCCCCCCCCCCCCCCCCCCCCCCGCCTTCTCCCCTTCGGGAGAGTTTCCACCGGGCCGGGCCGCCCGCCCCTCCCCCTCCCCCTCCCCCGCTCCTCCCCGCCCCTCCCCTCCCCCTCCACCACCCCCCCCAACCCCCCCCCCCCCCCGCGCCCGGCCCGGCGCCCCGCCCTCCGCCGCCGCCTCCGAGGGGCGGTCCCCGGCGCGCGCCCTCGCCCCCGCGGGCGTGCGTGCGGCGTCCCGGAGTCCCGGAGCCGAGAGCCGACGGCGCGGCCCGCAGCATGGAGCGCAGCGCCGCCGGCCCCGCCGCCCGCCCGCGCCCGCCGCTCCCGCCGCCGCTCCCGGGGCGCCGCCGGCTCCCGCGCCCGCCGCCGGCATGAGGGGGCCCCGGGGCGAGGGGGGCGCGCCCGCGCTGTGCCCGCGCCTCAACCACTCGCTCCCCGGCCCGTCCCCGGGCCTGTGGGCGGCCGAGCGCTCCGCCGCCGCGGCGCGGGCCAACGCGACGGCGCCGCGGGCCGCCGGCCAGGACTGCGGCTCGGTGTCGGTGGCCTTCCCCATCGCCATGCTGCTCACCGGCTTCGTGGGCAACGCGCTGGCCATGCTGCTCGTGTCGCGGAGCTACCGGCGGCGGGAGAGCCGGCGCCGGCAGTCGTTCCTGCTGTGCATCGGCTGGCTGGCGCTCACCGACCTGGCGGGGCAGCTGCTCACCAGCCCCGTGGTCATCGCCGTGTACCTGTCGCAGCGGCGCTGGGAGCACCTGGACCCGTCGGGCCGCCTGTGCACCTTCTTCGGCCTCGCCATGACGGCCTTCGGGCTGTCCTCGCTGCTGGTCGCCAGCGCCATGGCCGTCGAGCGGGCGCTGGCCATCCGCGCGCCGCACTGGTACGCGAGCCACCTGCAGACGCGCGCCACCCGCGCCCTGCTGCTCGGCGTGTGGCTCGCGGCGCTCGGCTTCGCGCTGCTGCCGGTGCTGGGCGTCGGCCGCTACGCCGTGCAGTGGCCCGGCACCTGGTGCTTCATCAGCACGGGCGGCGCGGGCAACGGCACGGGCGCCCCGCGCGACCGCGGCGGCCTCTTCTTCGCCTCCGCCTTCGCCTTCCTGGGGCTGTCGGCGCTGGCCGTCACCTTCGCCTGCAACCTGGCCACCATCGAGGCGCTCGTGTCGCGCTGCCGCGCCAAGGCCTCGGCGGCGCAGTCGGGCGCGCAGTGGGGCCGCATCACCACCGAGACGGCCATCCAGCTCACGGGGATCCTGTGCGTGCTGTCGGTGTGCTGGACGCCGCTGCTGGTGAGGCGCGGGGGCGCGGGGGGCGCAGCGGGGGCCCCTGCGCGGGCAGCACCTGCAGGGGCGCACGGGGTCCTGGGGGCGCGGGGGTGCGGGCAGCACCTGCAGGGGCGCACGGGGTCCCGGGGCTGTGGGGGGCGCGGGCAGCACCTGCAGGGGCGCACGGAGTCCCGGGGCCGTGGGGGGCGCGGGCAGCACCTGCAGGGGCGCACGGAGTCCCGGGGCCGTGGGGGGCGCGGGCAGCACCTGCAGGGGCGCACGGAGTCCCGGGGCCGTGGGGGGCGCGGGCAGCACCTGCAGGGGCGCACGGAGTCCCGGGGGCGCGGGGGGCGCGGGCAGCACCTGCAGGGGCGCACGGAGTCCCGGGGGCGCGGGGGGCGCGGGCAGCACCTGCAGGGGCGCACGGAGTCCCGGGGGCGCGGGGGCGCACCGGGGGCCCCTGCGCGGGCAGCACCTGCAGGGGCGCACGGAGTCCCCCCCGGCGGCCACCTCGCAACTGAGCTCTGAGCTCGCATCCACCTGCCGAGCACCTTTACTTTTGTTTTTTTTAAAAATATCTATTCATGAAACATTACGGAGACGGGCACACACACAGGCGGAGGGAGAAGCAGGCTCCAGGCACGGAGCCGGACTTGGGACTGGATCCCGGGTCTCCAGGATCACGCCCTGTGAGCCACCCCGGCTGCCCCGCCCAGCACCGTTAGAGGCCACGCGTGGCAGGAGGCCGCTGGTGCACCGCCCGAGGCCCCGAGGGCAGGGGGACGCCCCGCTGGCGTTGCAGCGCCCGGGCGGAGATGGGGGCGTGCACCGGGTGCGGCGGGAGCAGAATGGCTGGGCCGGCGGCTGAGCGCTCTCTCCGTCCGTGTCACACGCCGGGGCCCTAGCGGGACAGCAGGCGGGGACCCCAGGCGAGCGCAGCCCCCCCCCCCCCGCCCGGCCCCGGTGGCACCCAGGGCCCGCCCTTGCTCGCGGCCGCGCTGGGACTGGAGGCAAGACAGCCCCTTGGAATGGCGCTGCGGCCTCCCTCCGGGAAGCGTTTGTAAGGGACATCCAGCCTGCGGGCCCCCAGGGCCTGGGAACTCTCAGCGCCTGTGCCAAACACAGAGTTATCCAAGAATTGGAGGGGACAGGAGTAAAGGGGGGAGAAGGGGGGAATGGAAAGGCCTGGAGACACAGGGTGACCCGGGACAGATTGCAGCAAGCAGTGAGGCTGCAGGGAGTAGAGGTTGGGGGGGGGCGTGGGCTGAAGAAAAATGAGTCCTTTGTGAGCACTTGGACTTGCACACTTCCAGAGACCGGCGGCTACGCTAGGAGGTCCCGGCACTGGGCCAGACCCACTCGCTTAGACTTGCTAACGCTACCCCCCCCCCATGGAGGCCCCCCTCCGTGCCAGGCGCTTTGCAGCTTTGCAACGTGCTTTGCTGGATGAACCCAAGCGCCTTGGGTTCATTAAACCCATAGCACAAAGCTGCTACTATTTCCATCCCCATTCCTCAGACGAGAAACCTGAGGCTGGGGGAAGCAGTGTTGCCGGGACCACGGAGCCTGGGAGCGGCAGGGCTGGGATGCAGACCCCCTCCCTCCCGGAGCCTCAGTGTTCCCACCTGCACCAGCGCCCCGGGGAGGCTGGAGGGAGCCAGCCTTGAGCATCCCCCGAGGTCCTACTGCCCCCAGGACAGGCAAGGGCCAGGGCAGCTCCAGGCCAGGCCTGAGACTCGGGGTGGGGGCGGCAGGGGGGCTGCACTTTCTGGCTCCTTGCAGAGCCGCACAGCCTGGGAGCTAGTGGTGTTCACACTTGCCCAACCTGGCACTTTCCAGATTTTCCTGTGTGGTGCTTTTAGCTAGAGATTTCTGTGGGTAAGTGTCAGTTACGAACACCTGATGGACGGGTGTCTGTTTAGGTTCCAAGCCGCAGGCTCCAGAGGAGGCATTACAGGAGGAGGGACCTGGTGGTTGTGTCAGGGGTAGCAGGTGGTACGTTGGACCTGGGACTTTCTTAGACAGTTGGGGGACACTTCTGAAATCCGTGGACACGGTTTTCAGAACCACTCTCACGGAGTCTTTCTTTTTGGTGATGAAATATGCCTAACGGGAAACTTGCCATTTTTAAGCGTGCAGTTCAGTGGTATTAAGCATATTGAGGTCGCCGCGCAGCACATTTAGTTTTGAATTTGTTGTATTTAAAAATAGAACCTTAGTTCCTTTTCCCCCCTCCCACTCCTGCATTTGGCAAACCGGATATTCCAAGGATACCTGGGTTTCACTGGTGCGGTAATACTTGGAGCACAAGTCTTGGCTTCAAATCAGTGACATGTGGTGACGAGGAGAGTTATGTTGGGACCTCGCTGCTCACGAGTCACTGTGTGGTCACGGTTCTGTGTTCCAAGGGCTGCAACTCAGGCTGATGTCATCACCGTGGCTTATCAGAACCAGCACCAATTTTAGACACATTTACTTCTATGGTTGAGGAATGGAGTATATAGGTGGCCAAACAGACGTGGGAAGAGTTCTAAAAAATAAACCTTTTATTAAGGTGCTAATTATTAACATAACTTTAAAAGCGAACAGAGTATCTGAATTTTTCAGAGCTGCCATTTGAAGCTGAGTTTGCTCTTATCAGGCACTTTCTATTCTTTGAGTTTGCTCTTGTCACACGCTTTCTATCCTAAAACAAATGCGATTAAATCATGTGAATAAAATGCTTACCTATACAGTTAACCCGACAGAGAGAAACCATACAGCGTGTATTGATTTCAGCAGCACGATTCTGATGCCTCGGGCACAGTAGCCCTAAGAATTTAGATCAGTTTTGAAAGTTGTGAGCTGGGGTGGCCAAACCCACTCTCTCTTAAGAAAGACATGTCTGGAACTGCTCCTATTTAATTCCTGCATTCAGAAAATATTAACTGGCTTGCAACTTTTTACTGGACACTGTGTTGACTCGGTTCGTACAAAAACATTGATCTTAAAATGAAATAAAGTCAACATGTAATCATATCAAAGAGGAGAAATTCATGGTCTCCAAAGTAGGTACTTCTTAAACCCAAGTTAACGGTTTAGTCTTCTCTTTTGTGCACCATCCAAGTTAAAGCTTCAAGTGTCTTCAGAGAAGTCTGTAGGAGAAAGTCATTGCAAAGGAAAGAAACTGGCAAAACTGCTTTCTCAACAGTTTAGGGAATTGTAAGAATAAAAACACTAGAAGTTAGTGAATTGAATTTTTAGTCATTAATGTTAAAGTGAGATTTCTTTTTTTACAACTGTTTTATAATTACAGGAAAATACAGATTCCCTGTTAGTTTTTGTTGAGCTGGGCATAGACACTAACCTAATTATTCAAACTCCTTACTTAAAAGGACCCTGAGTATGTCTCATTTTGAAGACTATCACAACTATAATAATATTTAATGTTACTGCTGGAAAACTTAGCAGAGAAGAAATACCGTAATAAGAAAACATCCAACCTGCAACAAGTTTCTACTACTTAACACCTAGATAGAGGTTTATCTATGGTGCAAACAAAACTTTTTTTTTTTTTACTTTTTCTTTTCCCCAGAAACTTCACAAAATATAGTGCGAGATGTAAAATTGAGAATGCAGGGGCAAATGATGTCAGTGTGATCGACGATCTACAATTCGTAGTTGCCTTATGTTTATGTGTGACATCAAATCCTATTGAATGTCAGTCGACTCAGCAACACAGTCCTTTCGACTTTTTATTATTAGTTTTTTATGAACCTAATTCACCAAATAGTCCAGTTATTAGACATGATAGCCAAGTTTCCACAAACAGGAATCACCTCGGGGGGGGGGGGCTTTTTGTTCACAAAAAGCCAGGAGTACATTTTGTGTTTGTGTAAACCTGACACTCCCCCAACAGGTGGAACGTGGCTAACAGTGTAACTCTCTTAAAAATGGTAAATATAAAACTGACATTGTGAAAAGTGAGGTCTGAGGAACAAAGTTTCTCATCTACAACTTTGGAACTGGATAAAAGCAGCCGTTGAAACCTTTGCCTTCCACCCTGAGCCTATAAATTCTGCTCATTGTCCACAAACGCACACAGAGATGCTTCAGTAGAAGAACATATTTCACAATGTGGATGTGACTGCTTTTTTTTTAAAGATTTTATTTATTTATTCATGAGAGACAAAGAGAGAGAGAGAGAGAGAGAGAGAGAGAGAGAGAGAGAGAGGCAGAGACACAGGCAGAGGGGGAAGCAGGCTCCCTGCGGGGAGCCTGATGCAGGACTCGATCCCAGGACCCCGGGGTCGCGCCCTGAGCCCAAGGCAGACGCTCAACCACTGAGCCCCCCAGGCACCCCAATGTGACTGCTTTTAAATTTAAAGAATCACTGATATATTTTGACCAAATGAAACAGGCCTTCAGTATACCACGTGTGATAAATACACGCGATAGATTACAGAGGTAATCCTGTTTATTATACAGAAAAGTACTACGGAGTTGCTCGTCTCTGCCTGTACATTTCTGCCTTAGGATGTCGCTTCAGGGAAAATGACTACACCTGTGAATTGGCATTATAGGAAAAATCTTCTCTAATATGTTTTTGTAAGAATTGAGATTATTTAGAATTTTTTTTTACTTTGTTTGTTTAGTACAATACAGTCTAGGCACTGTGGAAGGGATATTAAGGAGACTTACTTAAAATTGGCCAGAGAGCTATACTCTGTTCAGAGAAGCAGAATCCCTACATTTATGAGTGAGACAATTAGAGAACAGTGCAAGAGTTGATGTGATTAGTGCCTGTGGCTCTGGAAGGAACATCCATCTGAATTTAGCAGAGTAGACTTCAGGGAAGAGGGGAGATGGCAAAGCTTGACCTTGACTGTGCCCAGGACCCAGCACAGAGCATGCTCACTGCAACCCTGGGAACACGCTTTGAAAAGGTTTATGGGATCAGATTGAGGTTGTTAGGATGAACCTGGGATGAGGACGGCATTCTTTTGCCAGTAAACCACAGGACCTCTATTTGGGGCTTCTGAATA